GGGGGTTGATAGAGGTCAGCAAGGGTCAATGGAGGTCAACGAGGGTCAATGGTGGTCAACGGTGGTCAATGGTGGTCATTGGGGGTTAATAGAGGTCACTGGTGGTCAACGGTGGTCAATGGGGGTTGATAGAGGTCAGCAAGGGTCAATGGAGGTCAACGAGGGTCAATGGTGGTCAAGGGTGGTCAATGGGGGTTGATAGAGGTCAGCAAGGGTCAATGGAGGTCAACGAGGGTCAATGGTGGTCAACGGTGGTCAATGGTGGTCATTGGGGGTTATTAGAGGTCACTGGTGGTCAACGGTGGTCAAGGGTGGTCAATGGTGGTCATTGGGGGTTAATAGAGGTCACTGGTGGTCAATGGTGGTCAGTGGGGGTTAATAAAGGTCAATGGGGGTCAGTGGTGGTCAAGGGTGGTCAAGGGTGGTGAATGGGGGTTAGTAGAGGTCAATGGAGGTCAACGGGGGTCAATGGAGATTCAGGGTGGTCAATGGTGGTCAGTGGTAATAAAGGTCAAGGGTGGTCAAGGGTGGTCAATGGTTAATAGAGGTCAAGGGTGGTCAATGGTTAATAAAGGTCAAGGGTGGTCAAGGGTGGTCAATAGGGGTTCATGGTGGTCAACGGGGGTCCCCAGGGGTCAACGGGGGTTAATAGAAGTCAACGGTGGTCAATGGTAGTCAACAGTGGTCAATGGTGGTCAATGGGGGTTTACAGTGGTCAATGGTGGTCAACAGTGGTCAATGGTGGTCAATGGGGGTTTACAGTGGTCAATGGTGGTCAACAGTGGTCAATGGTGGTCAACAGTGGTCAATGGTGGTCAACAGGGGTCAATGGTGGTCAACGGTGGTCAATGGGGGTCAATAGAGGTCAATGATGGTCAATGGAAGTCAATAGAGGTCAATGGTGGTCAACAGTGGTCAATGGTGGTCAATGGGGGTCAGTAGAGGTCAATGATGGTCAAAGGTAGTCAAGGGAGGTCAATGGAGGTAAATAGAAGTTAATGGGGGTCAGTAGGGGTTAATGGTGGTCAACAGGGGTCAGTGGGGGTCAAGGGTGGTCAAGGGTGGTCAATGCAAGTTAATTGAGGTTAATGGTGGTCAGTGGGGGTCAGTGGTGGTCAATGGCGGTTAATAGAGGTCAGTAGGGGTTAATGGAGATCAATGGAGGTCAACGGTTGTCAGTGGTGGTCAATGGTGGTCAACTGAGGTCAATGGTCATCAAAGGGGGTCAGTGGTGGTTGAGAGTGGGCAAGGGGGGTTAATGGTTGTCAACAGGGGTCAGTGATGGTCAAGGGGGACTGCTGGTGGTCAATGGTGGTTAATAGAAGTCAAT